GGGGCGCCGCGCCCCCCCCCCGCCATCCCCCAGCCCCCGCCCCCTCCACCCATGGCACCTGGGATGTGCAGGCTGTCGCAGCGGATGTCCATTTCGTGCAGCCCGGCCTCCGTGGGCGCGTATCTCACGGTCACCGTTCCGTCCTTGTTATCCGTGATGTCTGGCTTGGCCACCTTCCCCGAAGGCATCCGCACTTCGCCTGTGCAGAGCGCGGGTCAGTCCCCCCTTGACGTAGGGGGCCTGGGGCCACTCCCTGGCTGCTGTGTGTGACCCTAACGGCCTGGGTCCGTAAGCACTGGCCACGGGGGGAAGGGGTCTGGCTGGGGAAATGTGTGCTCAGTGGTTTGGAGAAGGGCCGTCTGCGCTGGGCAGTCATGCAGAGAAGAGACTAAGCTGAGTCCTGGGGGTTCAGGGGCCTGTGGACCCCACCAAGGAGTCTGGGACTGCCGGCCCCTCGCTCCGGCGCCCACCCGGAACCCAGGCCGCGCTGTGTCTGAGAAGCAATACAGCCTCCGTCCTGCACCGGCCGCCCCCTCGCTCCGACGCCCACCCGGAACCCAGGCCGCGCTGTGTCTGAGAAGCAATACAGCCTCCGTCCTGCACCGGCCGCCCCCTCGCTCCGACGCCCACCCGGAACCCAGGCCGCGCTGTGTCTGAGAAGCAATACAGCCTCCGTCCTGCACCGGCCGCCCCCTCGCTCCGACGCCCACCCGGAACCCAGGCCGCGCTGTGTCTGAGAAGCAATACAGCCTCCGTCCTGCACCGGCCGCCCCCTCGCTCCGACGCCCACCCGGAACCCAGGCCGCGCTGTGTCTGAGAAGCAATACAGCCTCCGTCCTGCACCGGCCGCCCCCTCGCTCCGACGCCCACCCGGAACCCAGGCCGCGCTGTGTCTGAGAAGCAATACAGCCTCCGTCCTGCACCGGCCGCCCCCTCGCTCCGACGCCCACCCGGAACCCAGGCCGCGCTGTGTCTGAGAAGCAATACAGCCTCCGTCCTGCACCGGCCGCCCCCTCGCTCCGACGCCCACCCGGAACCCAGGCCGCGCTGTGTCTGAGAAGCAATACAGCCTCCGTCCTGCACCGGCCGCCCCCTCGCTCCGACGCCCACCCGGAACCCAGGCCGCGCTGTGTCTGAGAAGCAATACAGCCTCCGTCCTGCACCGGCCGCCCCCTCGCTCCGACGCCCACCCGGAACCCAGGCCGCGCTGTGTCTGAGAAGCAATACAGCCTCCGTCCTGCACCGGCCGCCCCCTCGCTCCGACGCCCACCCGGAACCCAGGCCGCGCTGTGTCTGAGAAGCAATACAGCCTCCGTCCTGCACCGGCCGCCCCCTCGCTCCGACGCCCACCCGGAACCCAGGCCGCGCTGTGTCTGAGAAGCAATACAGCCTCCGTCCTGCACCGGCCGCCCCCTCGCTCCGACGCCCACCCGGAACCCAGGCCGCGCTGTGTCTGAGAAGCAATACAGCCTCCGTCCTGCACCGGCCGCCCCCTCGCTGTCTCACCGTTGCCCGCTCACACAGGGCTGGTCCTGTGGGAGGGGGTCAGGGGACACTGGGGGAGCAGGTTAGGGGGCTGGCCAGGAGACACCAGGCTGGCTGCCAGGGTGATGGGTTCATAGGTCTGATCTGACCATATTCTGCTGCTCCTGTCAGAGATGACCCCAAGTGGGGCAGGGGGAGAGTCTGTGGGGATGCAGCCCCAGAGCCCCTGCCCCGACTTACCCGTGATCTCCCCCTTCTTGATGGTGAAGGGAATCACCAGGTCGAACGGCCGCAGCCCGGCCACGTCCAGGCCGTTGACTCCCATCAGGGGCCGGTCTGTAGCCTGCAAAGATCC